CAGTTTTCATTATTCTTCAAAAATGCGTTTAAAAAAATGAAGAAATGTTTTAAAATAATAAAATGGAGGACATTTAAAAAAATCTAACTTTAAATAACTCAAAAACATCATCCTATAATTGACTCAAATTTTTTTTAGATTTATTTTTAATTACTATTTTGTTTTTTTACACATTTATAATTTTTCAAACGGATTTTAGAAATATAATTAAAACTTTTATGTAGGTACAAAAATAAAATTTAATTATCATTTGTCTAAAATTTTAAATAGGGTCAGTTGCGGTAAATGGGGACTAAAGGTTTTGGTTTGTTTGTCATTATTAACCAAATTAACAAAAATCAAAAATTTAAGTAAATTTCTGTTATGGGAGTCATAAGGAATAAGAAAAAAATTTGTTATGATTTTTAAGTCTGTTTTTTTCAAATGCGAGACAAAATACTGAAGTAAAAAATAAATAAAAAAATTTCAATTGGTTCAACTATTATATATCTACTACAAATTTTCTTCAAGTTTTTTCATTCCTTAATACAGTAATATACTTAAGGAAACTTTTTTCTTAAAACTTTCTTAGAAACTATGTTGTCCCCCATTTACCCAAAATTTTATGAATTTTTTTAAATTTTGGGATAAATGGGGATAAATGGGGCAGTTAGTTTCATGCGTTTAAAGTTTATCTAAATTTTTTTCTGCTGCATAAAATTAATCTTGGGAACGTAAATAACAACTTAAAAAAATAAACCCGCAAATATTACATTTTAAAGAAAAAAACTTACGTAATTTGTGAAAAATAGCGATTTTTTCCCCATTTACCCCAACTGACCCTACTTTAATTTCTTTATTAATTTTTAATAATTGATCTTTGTCGATTATTGTTAGAAAATGAAAATCCTTATATATTTATAAAAATAAAATTGTAGTTAAAATCAAAAATATTAAAAAAAAATATTTTCATATTATAAAATAGTCATCTAAAATTCTTTGAAAAATAATATTTTTTGAATGAAATTGATTTTTAATCCTGACAAAATCAAGCAAAATCTGATTTAAAATATGTTAGGTCAATAAAAATAAGTAAAAAAATATATTATTATTTTGTTTAACAACTTTTATTACTTCTTCTTTCTTTAATTTTTAGTTGCCCAACAGCGAGGACAATACGATTGTTGATATCGTCCAATTAAAAATATATCAAAGAATTTCACAACGTCAACAAAACAATGCTATTGTTCTTTCACCAATAGATACTCTTCTGGATGAATTTCATCAAGTTCCCTGTATTTTAAAAAATGAAGATATTTTAAAATACTGGGAATGTAGGAAGACAAATCATCCAGAATTGTATATATTGTCGAAAATTGTACATGCTGCACCAATGACACAAGTTAGCGTGGAGAGACTGTTTTCCGCCATGAAATTCATTTTATCCGATCTCCGCTCTAACTTGAGTTATGATGTCGTGAACGACATCCTGATTGTCCGTTGTAATGCGAATTTTATGTCGAAACATATTATTGAAAATGAAAATTATAATAAAAAAAAGCAAAAAATATCGGAACCAGTAAACGATTTAACTGAAAGCGTTTGTGGCAGTAGTAGCACAATATTGCTAGATAGTAATACCGAATAATTATCAAATATAATAAATGATTATAATAAAAATTTGAGTAATTTACGTTACTTGTTTTTCATTTTTTATACCCTGGAAAAATAATCTTAATTCCCAATAAAATAATCTAATAAATTTAAATCGTATCGTTTCACGAAATAATATATTGTATTATAATATTTTTTAAGTATGTTTTTAAAATTTAATATTTCATATATTTTATTTTACATTTCCATCATAAGTTTTAATAATTTATAAATTGAAAAAAATATTTTGTTCATTTGAACATTCAGAACTTTTGGCTTAAAATAATAAAATTGTTTATAAGCAAGGTACGATTCTAATGTCTTTATTCGTAACGTGCCCGGATACGATACGATTCTTAAGTAATTTATCGTATCGTGCCGGGATACGATACGATTCTCAAGTAATTTTTCGTATCGTGCCCTAATACAATACGATTCTCATGTTGCTATTAGTATTGTATCCGGACACGATACGATTGTGAAGTTGATAATCGTATAGTACCTAGGACCAAACCAGGTACGATACGATTGTTTCGTGACAGTCCCTGCTTGAGAGGTTACTCAAAATTAAAAATTTGTTTTGTTCACTAAATCTAGTGTAGAATTTTTATTTTTCATCCGATTGTGCTCTACTTGGCCTCAAAATTTTCATAATTAAATAAATTATCGCTAAAAAATTTTAAACATGAACTTTTTTCATTCAGGTGTCAGAATTGAAAATTCAAAATGTCGGATGCAATATGGCGGACTTAATTTTATAATTCTGACATAAATTAGTGTCGATTATACTGTTTCGAAAACTTTTGTACTGAATCCCAAACAGTTCTAGAATACTTGATCAAATTTCATCCTGGATTCGCATTTATAGACTTATAGGATTCGATACAAATATTTAAATTTTAATATAGAATTCTAAAAATTTATTATTCGCCTTAAAATATCTAGTGTTTAGTACTACTTATTTCTCAAAATTCGTTTTTTCTTCGTGATTCAATGATGCGCACTAGTCGATCTCAGTTTCTATGACCTGTACAGCTGCGCAGTAATTTTTAATTTTCTAGGATCCTAAGATGTTGAACATTTTAAAAACAAATAAAATTATGATTAAAATTAATTGCAACCAATTTTAGAAGATCTTGTTATGCATTTTGCAGAAAAACGAAGTTTATTAAAAATCTTTTTTAAATAATTATCTTTTTAAGGTATTAGTCGTGCGCCGGCTCTAACCAAAAGTTTGTCTTGAGTCTGACTCAGTCTGTGCTTAGCAAGAGGTATAGTTCTGAATCAAACTTTTTGAAGGGTACAGGTAACTTTCACTCAGAGCGCCGCGTTCTCGCACGTGTAGAACTAAAGTTTTGATCGCGGCAACGTCGCAATCTGAATGTACCAGTGCTACTGAATGTTAGAGTCACAAAAAGTGTTTAGCTGTTTTTGTCGTAGTTTATGGAAATAAAAAAGTGCAAGAAAAATGTCAAATCAATTAAGGTTTAAGGGGAAATTTATAAAAAAAAAGTTTTTGAAAAAAGGTTAAAAATTGTTGTGGATATGAAGAGAGGAAAAACAATATAAACAATGTCAATAATAATTGTAATATTGACTATATGTGCTCTGGAAGACGAATTGTTGAACTCGATGTATTAGCTAAAAATTTAATGTGTACTTTGCATGATTTTGAATTTTGTATGCATTCGCGCGCTACAGCGTTGCCAAGTTTACTGCTTTCCATCAGTGGAACTTCATATAATTTAAAATTTTGTTAACTTTCTCCTAATATATTTATAGTTTGGTACGGTCAAAAAATTTCAGTTTTTTTGTATGCATTCGTTTCATGAGAATGTATTATGTGGTAGTTTTATTTTAAAATCTGACGACTGGTTTTCATTTAAATAATTATAAAGCAAATTCCTTACATGCATTAGGTGCTCCGTCCATGTAAAAAGTATCAACTTTGAAATGATATTTTAAAGCTTAGGAACGGTCAAAATCGATGGGATTGGTCTTATTTTGTAGATAATTATGTCAGAAGCACTTATGCAAAATTTAAAAAATATCTGACGAAAATGATTTTACGCGACTAATACCTTAACATTTGAATGTTTTTTCATTCAATTTAGACATAAATTACAATTTTTATCTAATTTTAATAAACAAGGGCTTATTTTATTTAGTAAGACATTCTCTACAATCGCATATATTTTTATATTGTTAAGGTAGTATTACACTTTTCAAGCAGTAAAAAACGGGTTTAGAAAAAAAAATTTTTCTCGCTTCTTAATTTATTTAAAGGAACAAATTTTTTTTTATAACATTATATGGCATTAAAACTTTTATAATAAATAAAATAAAATTTTTTTATTATCTCTCTTTGGTCACTTGAGGGCCTTAATCGAGTTTTTCTCGAAACGTTGTTTTTGAAACTGTCGGACAGCATAACTCGAGTTCTAATGAAACAATTTTTTTGAAAAAAATATCATTTTTTTCGTAATTAAATTCTTTAAGCATCCCCCCTAAATCCAATTATCTATTTCTTTTTGGATTTTAGCTACAATCCAAAAACTAACCAAAAAAGACCTAATTTTTGACATTTTTTTTTAAATCGCTGCCATTTCGTTAAGGCCCTCTAGTGACCAAAGAGAGATAATAAAAAAATTTTATTTTATTTATTATAAAAGTTTTAATGCCATATAATGTTATAAAAAAAAATTTGTTCCTTTAAATAAATTAAGAAGCGAGAAAAAAATTTTTTTCTAAACCCGTTTTTTACTGCTTGAAAAGTGTAATACTACCTTAAAAGTGAGTTGTAAAAAAATTATTTACTAAATAAAATTTTAATTGTTTATAATTTTTTATCAACTTACTTTTAACAATATTAAAATATATAAGCAATTGTGTGTTGAAAAAAAGATAAGGAGGAAAATATTTTCTTGTAATTAACGAAGTGCGAAGTGTGTAAAAACCCTGTAATTGGTATACAAAGAAATAAATTATTTATAAGCAATTGTAGAGTAGGTTTCACTGAATAAAATAAGCCGTCGTTTATTAAAATTAGATAAAAATTGTGTTTTTTGTTATTCCACTAATTCTAATACATAGAAGTTTTCATTTGTACCTAGTGATTCATGTTCAATTAAGAATTCTTTTGTGTGTTCATTTTACAATTACACGACTGCTGCACAGGTAAGTTGTTTTAAAGAAGAGAATAAAAACAATATTTTCATTAATATTAATTTTGCATTCTTCGTTTTCGAAAATTTGATACGAACAAAAAAGACCAATTAGAGATGAAAACAACTTTAAAAAAATCACGTCCTGTAATGAATTTTTTTGTTATCAATGGCTATATATATTATAAAAAATCTGAACTTTGTCAATTCAAAAGTACGTTAACCGTTCTCTGTTAAAGACGCATTCTGGTAAAAAAAGTTTTTTCAATAAGAAATTGAACATGACCAAGTTTATTGTTACTATATTTTTATTAGTAGCATTTGTCAACATAACAACTGTGTTAACAAAAAATGGTTGGTTTTTAAATACATTAACTTTTTTAATATTGCGTCATGAATTATCTTAATTTTTCAACGCGTCAAACATAACGATTTTCATAATTATTAATATTCTTTACACTATTATATTACAATTGTATTAAATTTGTATTAAATATTCATAATACTAACCCTTAACTGGCACCATGGGTCCAATAGACCCAACCTTTTTTTCGAGCTCAAATTAATTGAATGTGTAGCTTTTAAATATTTTTTATATTTTAATATATTAGTTTGACAAATTCTTAATAATTTTCTAAGTTTTTTGATACAACTAATTCGATAGAAAAAAATAAGTAAGCTTCAAACATTAATAAATTTAAATTTTTAATTTTAACCTCAAAAGACACATTTTATTCTGTAAAATAAATACCTTTATTGCAAGTCCTGTTGTTGTGGTAATTTTTTCCTTAAAAAATAATACATCAAGAGTATAACCTTAAATTTTTAAGTCATAATATTAAAATTGTAAAATTAATTACATTTTAAAAAACACATCATAAGCTACCTCAGATTAATTTTTTGTGCAAAAATATTCAATACCAGCTGTACAATACACGTTTAAATACGTCGGGTCCAGCAGACCCGTTGTGCCATTTACGTTCGAACAAGGAATTGTACCTTGCGGCTAGCTTGCCCGGCAATTTTGCCAACCTTGCACGGCAAACTTACCGCAAGCTTGAAATGTCCTACCTGACCCAAACTTATTGCATGGTAAGCTTATTAAAAGATTCCTCAGTAATCCTACCGAAAGATTGCAGTGTAAGGTTACTACAAGATTACACAATAAGATTATCGCAAGATTGCTCAGTAAGCTTGTAGCAAGGTTGGTGCAAGATTTCCAAATAACCTTACTTTAAACCTAAAAATTTTTTTTAAATGTTTTATCTAATTTATATAATCAAATTTATATAATAAAATTGTATAAATTAGAAGAAACATTAAAAGAAAATTTTTTAGGTTCAAAGTAAGGTTATTTGGCAACCTTACCCAACCTTGCTACAAGCTTACCTTGCAAACTTACTGAGCAATCTTGCGATAATCTTATTGTGCAATCTTGCAGTAACCTTACACTACAATCTTTCGGTAAGCTTACCATGCAAGCTTGGGTCAGGAGGGACATTTGAAGCTTGCGGCAAGTTTGCCGTGCATGGTTGGAAAAATTGCGTGGCAAGTTTGCTGCAAGCTTACCAGCTATCTGGATTGGTAGGACACAAAACTATAAAATAATTTCGAAATCCATTATGTTTGACTGTATAAATTTTACCGCATGATGTATTAAAATGATAAAATATAATGTTTCTTTTAGTTTTTGATTTTGATAAGCTGAAGAACCAAATCTTTCATCCATTAAATGGGAGTTTTATTACTTCAGAGTTAGAAAAATTAGACAAATCGTTAAATTCAACTGCTTCATTTATCCAGCAAAATATAATTCCCAGTCCATCTTGCAATTGTGTTGAATTAATTTGCAGTTGCTGCACAACGTTAAATTCTAATGCAATCTTTAAAAATAAAACTGTATGCAATCAAATTACCTACTTGCAAAATGAATCTGCACTTAATTTAAGTATTTTAATTGATGGAAAAGCTTTATTCAACAAAACAATTACAGGTATAGTATAAAATTTTAATTATTTGTGTCGTTATCGCTTAAATTTATTTACACGGAGAGAAATAGATGCTATGAATTTATGATCTTAAGATGGTAAAAAGTAGATGTTATCCGGTACTCTCTAAATTTGAATCAGCGATAAGTATACCACTGGTACCAATCAGCGGATATACGCTGAAAAATCAGTGAAATTCCACTAATTCATCAGTGCATATAAGTTGATTGGAATCAGTGGTATACTTATAGCTGAGAATCAGCGAGATTCCGCTGATTCAAATTTAGAGAGTACTATCATTATGCTACTCAGTACTATCAAAGATGTTACAAAAAGTATGGTTATTTATTACCCACTACAATCAAGATGTTACTCCGTACAATCTGGATTTTAACTGATAGAATCTAGATTGCTGTCCGTATATGTAATATCAAATATGGGTACCTGATACTATCTAGATAAGTACCCGTACCATCTATTTCTCTCCGTGTAATTTAAAATAAAAACCCACTCTGGTTTCCATATGGGATATTATATATATTTTTGTATATAATTTTAATTAAAACCCTATTGAAAACGAATGAGCATAAATGTGACGCTCCGCGAGAGGACATGCCTATCCCCGAAATAACATTAGGTTTAGTTTTCATGTACAGTGCACGGAAAACTAAGCCTAGTGTTATTTCGGGGATAGGTCCCTTCTCCCGTGGAGCGTCATAAATATTACCGTATTATTATTATTAATCTGAGGTTTGTGGCTATGGGACAGCCAACAACGCATTTTTTGCGTAGGGAATTTTGGGAAATCTGCATACAGATACCTTGGATTCACATTTTAAGGTTATGTGGGGTTAGTATAGAGAAATAATAAAGCTGTCAAACTACTGCCTGCTATATTTAGTTCAGTATCCAAAGCTCTTTCCATAAGGAAAGGACTTCAACCAAACTGATTTTAGCGTACTAGCCATTTCTTCAAGAAAAAAAATAGTCTGTAATCTGCTTGTGTTTCCTCGCGAATGCGGGGCAGCGACACATTTCCTGCATAAATTGTTCCATAGCTCCTATTTTAACAAGTTCATCAGGTATATTGTTTCGTTTAACTCCGCTGTGTCCTGGGACAGTTATTTCCATCTAGTTTATTAAGTTTGTCTGTAAGAAATTCGGTATTAGTCAGCAACAATCCGGTTTTAATCTGGTATAACATCTTAATGCGAAATGAGCCCGGAAAAATCCAGAATGTATATTTACAAAATCATCATTGTTGTCTTCAAATACCAAATTTTTTTACATACAGATTTTCAATTAAGATTTTAGACCTGACTAAATTCGGATTCGTTACACACAGATTGCCGAATAATTTGGATTCCTTTTCTGATTAAAATTTCTGTTCAGACTGCGACTGCTGATTTTGTACATAATAATTTCGAATTTTTCCAGACTCATTCGGATTAGGGTTTCTTATCACCCAGTAAAAAAAGTTGGATAGCACGATACGGTATTCCATATAGCAGCGCAGTAGCTTGAATATGGAATTTGACATTTTTCATATAAAACCGATTGGTGCTGCATGGAATTATAAGAAGGTCCTATGGAAAACTTTTATGGCTGGTTTATAGATAAAAAATACCACTTAAAAGGACACAGTTATAAATGCAAGGTTATTAATTGATTGTATTAAAACTAATATTATAAATGAAATGCAAATTTTATAAAAAAAAGTAAATATTTCTTGGTTTATATTTGAAAGTAAAAATGAGTAACTGTATTTTCCCTTTCGGACGGTAAGTTGCTTTTCTTTATCGACAGTGGATATAAAATTTAACTCCCGAAAATGTTATTTGTGTAATCAATGTATAAAAAAGTGCGTTTTTTTAAACAGTAAACGAAATTAAATTTTAATAAAGTAAAGTAAAGCAGCAAATATAAGTAATTTATACACTGACTACACAAATCACATTGTTGCGCATTATATTTTATATCCACTGTCGATAAAGAAGAGCGACTTACCGTCCGAAAGGGAAAATACAGTTACTCATTTCTGTCAAATATAAACCATAAAATATTTACTTTTTTTTTACAAAATTTGCATTTCATTTATAATATTAGTTTTACTACAATAAGTTAATAACCCTTGCATTTATTAAGTGGTATTTCTTATCTAAACCAGCCATAAAAGTTGTCCATATAGGACCTTCTTATAATTCCATATAGCACCAAATGGTTCTATAAGAAAAAAATCTAATTCCATATTCAAGCTACTGCGTTGCTATATGGAATACCTTATCGTGCTATCCAACTTTTTTTACTGGGTAGATTAAATCAGGATTATTGTGAACTGATACCACATTACTAGAAAAATGGACGTCATATTTGAGTAAACTGTCCTAGCCCTAGTATTAGTCAAAAATATTTTTATTAATAGACAATAATTATAGGAAAAATATTTCCACGTGAAAATTACTTATTTATATAAAATTTGTGGATTTAATAAGTTAAGTGTAAAATTACTAATATTTTTATTAAAATTAGACACTTTACTCAAATATGACATCCATTTTTCTAGTAATATTTTAGTAACATTTTTATCCATTACAAATTTATCCTTTACCCTGTATCCTAACGACTTTTATCCTCTATCTTCACAACTTTTTACCCGCCTTTTTTTCTGTGGCATGGATTGCTTTTTGATTAAACTAAAATCAAATTGTTCCATGCTAATTGCGGATTTATTTCATGTAAATTTCGACTATTCCGGTCTGATCTCAGAATATCTTTTCATTCAGATTTAATTGCTGACTAATACGGATCATTTTCGGATTGTTTTCGTACAATTTCTGGACTAATCCGGACTGATCTAACTGTATTTAATCTGAAATCAATCCGAAATTTTAACCAAGGTTGTAAAGTCGAGGTTCCTTTTTCTGGCATTAAGTCTCTATTTCTTAACATATGACATTATTTATGTTAATTCATATAAAGGGTTAGACGATCATAAATGCTACACTATTGAAAATCCTTGTACAAGATCTTGTACAGGGATTTTCAATAGGGTGGAAGTATGACTATATATTCGACTATAGAAACAGTAACAATTACGACTGTAAATATCATTATAAATTGTGATAGGCGGTATACTGAATTTTACCAACTTTTTCAGACATTTTGGTTTTATTTCTCGTACGGTAATATATTTATAGTCGTATTTGCGACAATTTATTTAAATATGGATAGCGTGTGAAAAATAAAATTATAAAATTTTTTCAGAAACCAACCCCCCTGAAGAATGCATAGCAGTGCCTGATATACCAAATTTATATATTTGTGTTGTTTTAAAAAATCTTCAAATAGAGAATTCAACATTACATGCATGTATTGATGTACAACCAAAGTTGAATACGCAAATTCTTTTCACGTTTCAATTTGACTGTTTTGATATAAATTCCAAAGGTTTTGAATCATCAAATGTAGATAAAATAATTAAATTTATAGATGAAAAAAAAAATTCTTCCAGCATAAATAATTAATTTAACTATAATAATTATTCTTGTATGTTGAATTAGTTAATACCCAGCAAACATTGTTTCATAACTGTTAAGTAAAAGAAAAAATCTTCTTCTTTTTTATTGTTCGCAACATGTTATAGTAACAGAATAATAAAAAAATTTTACCATATTTTAGTCTCGGTGTGTTACAACTGTTCTGTAATAATTGGGTAAAAATATTCAAATTAGTATTCTAATTAATTTAACTATTTTCGTTTACTGTTTTAATAATGTAAAATTGTGTATTTTCAAAAAACAATAAAATTTATTTATTAGAAAATTTATTTTTTCTTAATTTACTGTAAACTTTTTATAATTATTTATATACTGTCAATCAGTTAAAAGTGGTCTACGTTAGGCAGTCCGATCCGCGCCAGACCAGAAATGAAAGCTTAACCTGATCAGGACCAGATTGGATTATACTGGACCCCTGGTCTGTCCCTGATCAGGAACAGGAGGCAAGTTGAATTTCTGCATGGGATAGTGTTGATGTCAATCGTCGAATTTTCTCGAAATGTTAAACATGATTAAATTAACTCTTCTTCTTCTTTTTCTAAGCAAATTAACTTAAATTAGAATAATATTAGAATCTTTTCTAATTTCCCTAATCGTGCTTAAACTTGATTGAGAATGTTGAATGGTCTCTGAAATTGTTTGTCATTTAATTATCGTCCTATAAAAATGGCAGTGAACATGAAAAGAATAAACATTGATTTTAAAATACTTTTTTCTCGAAACGTGGACACTTTATAAAATCGGCCAAAACACCAAGGATCATTATCTTATGAATTTAAATATTAAGAAATCGAAATAATTAATAATATCCCAGATAGCACGTGCCGCGCAATATTGCCAACCTTGCATGGCAAGTTTGCCGAAAGCTTGCAGCAAGCTTCAAATGTCCCACCTAACCCAAGCTTGCATGGTAAGCTTGCCGAAAGATTGCAGTGTAAGGTTACTGCAAAATTGCACAGTAAGATTATCGCAAGATTGCATGGTAAGCTTACCGAAAGATTGCAGAGTAAGGTTGTTGCAATATTGCACAGTAAGATTATCGCAAGATTGCTCAGTAAGCTTGGACGGTAAGCTTGTCGCAAGGTTGGTGCAAGGTTGCCAAATAACCTTGCCCAATCAGCAGAGAAGTTTGCATTGAAAATGAAGACTATGCGCACTTGCAATCATAAGCACTTACGGCTGCGCAGTAAATTTTTTTGACCTCCCAGGAACTGGTGTTCAATGTATGTATAAAACTAAATTTCCTCCCTCCCAAATTTTTTTGTTATATTCCGCAAGCTTGCGCCAAGCTTGCCATAAGGTTGCCGAGAAAACTTGCATGGCAAGCTTGCTGCAATCTTTTGTGCTGATTGGCAAGGTTATGTGGCAACCTTGCACCAACCTTGCGACAAGCTTACCTTACGGAGCAATCTTGCGATAGTCTTACTGTGCAATCTTGCAGTAACCTTACACTGTAATCTTTCGGCAAGCTTACCATGCAAGCTTGGGTTAGGTGGGACATTTGAAGCTTGCGGCAAACTTGCCATGCAAGGTTGGCAATATTGCGCGGCAAGTTTCCCGCAAGGTTGCTGCAAGCTTACGTGCTATCTGGGAAGATTCAAAAAGAATGTTTTTGTTTTTCAGCATTGTAAGTTTTTCAGGAGCATGCTCTGAAAATTTTATTCAAATTGAAATTAACCTTCCAAAAGTTTTTTTTAAAATTATTTCAACAAGTTCTTACCAACTGATAATATTGTGAAATTAATATGTATTTGCGAATTTAGTATTCTGTTTATTGTATAAATATACATACAAATTTTATTAAATAAGAAACGAAAAATCTGCATTTAAGCTTAAGACATAAAGAATTTTAATTCAAACTTTTCAAAAACTAAAAGTGTGCTTTTAAATTAAACTTTTAAAACATATTTTTCGCATATATTACAAATAATTGTTTTTAAGATAAATTAAATATTTTTATTGAACATTGAAACATATCGAGTAAAAGTAGTACTTAACAAAATTTTTGAATATTCATAAATATATTTAATTAAAAACAATAATTGTTGGTAATAGAAAAATGTTTAGAATGACATTTCTGCTTAAAACTAAAAAGTATTATATTTGACTATACAAGTAATAAATTCGCAAATTTCAAATGTTATGCAGCTATTGATTGTGAAAAGAAAATAAAATTATTGGAAAACATGATTGTTTATGGTAATTTCCATTATTTAATGGTTTTTTTTTGCTCTTTCGCTGTTTTTAAAAATGAAAAATTAAAATTATTCAAACTATTGTTTTTATTTTCTTTTTCAAAAAAGCTTATCTTTGAAATATTCATACACTGTAAATGAATCTACAAAAGAATTTTTAATTTAATCAAATCGCTAGTTACGCACATTTAAACCTACATGAATTCAATTAGTAAGAGCTTATTTTATATTTTCTTTTCTTCTCAATTTTTTACACCAAACTATCTTATTTTAATTATTGTAAAATAAAGAAGTTTTCCTTTGTAACAAGTGGTTCGTGTTTAATTAAAAATTCTTTTGTGAATTTATTTACAATTCATGACAATTACACAGGTAAGTTTCTTGAATAAGAACATAAAAAAAATATTTTCAATTGTCTTAATTTTCCATTCTTAACTATTGTAAAAAGTCACATTTCAAGGATATTATTTTCTTTTATAATCAATGGCTATATGATATTTAAAATTTGCCTATTTGGCCGTTCACATAAAGTCAAACGTGTGTCATCTGTTCTCTGTTGAAGACAGACTGGTATATTGGGTATTTCTAAAAGGAAAAAGAACATGAGGAAACTTATTGTAACTACATTTTTATTAGTGTTAGCGGTCAATTTAACAACTGCCTCAACAAATAATCGTGAGTGTTAATTTAATTATTTTTTTAACAGTGTATTAAATTTTGCTAAAGTTGTTGATGTCAATCCAGCTGAAAAAACCTTTGTTAAATATTTTTTATTTAACTTTAACAGAATTGATATAGGTATGCAAATCAAAGTAATTTTTAAAAAAGGTTCATGTTTAAAATTTTTATTTCAGAGTATCATAAAATAATAAAATATAATTTGTTTTTTAGTTTCATCAGATCTTAAAAAATTAAATAAAATATTCTTTAATCCATCAACCGGAAGTTATATTACCCTATTGAAAATCCCCACATGGGAAACCACATGGGAAACCACATGGGATCCTATGTCAAAAACTATGTAAAACCCCATTCCCCATATGGGAAACCACATGGGATCCCATATAAAAACTCATGGGAAATTGGGACAGGAATTGGCATAGGAAAATATCAAAACGAGGTTCCTCCATGTCATTTCCTATGTCAAATCCCATGTCAAATATCATGTTAAATACCATGTTAAATACTAATTGAGATCCTTTATCACTTTTTTGAAAAATTTTCCCATGTCAAACCCCATGTCATTTCCCAAGTAAAAACCTTTATCATTTTTTTGAAAAATTTTCCCATGTCATTTCCCATGTGAAATCTTTTATCATTTTTTTGAAAAATTTTCCCATGTCAAATCCTCTTTCGCCTTATCGAAAATACCCACATAGGAAAGCATATGGGAATCCACATGGGAAATGGAATACGATTTCATGTGCATTCTTCCAAATGATAAAACAAATAGATTTAAGCATAGGAAATCATATAAGATTTCATATAGATTCTGAAATTTCAACCTAAGATTTCACATGAATTTACATATAGGAAACGATATAGGATTTTATTCGGGAATTTTTTAGTTGGCTGCTTTATGCAGGCGGCAGTTTACAAAAAAAATTAATTATTTGATTAAATATCAAATAATAATACTTCAACTCATCTGAAAATAAAAAAAATTTACTTTACTTCTGCCTTAGACTCTCAGCTTTTATAGTATTCCAGACTGATCTCAACTGTGAGAGAAAATATTTTCACCATCTGGTGGTGAAACAATGAAACTATAATGACGATCAACATCTATATTGAAATTTCCTATGTCATTTCCCATGTGAAATCCTCTTTCATTTATTCGAAAAATTTTCCCATGTCATTTCCCATGTGAAATCTTATCATTTTTTCGAAAAATTTTCCCATGTCATTTCCCATGTGAAATCCTTCATCATTTTTTTGACAAATTTTCCAATGACAAATCCTCTTTCGCCCTATCGAAAATACCCACATGGGAAAGCATATGGGAATCCACAGAGGAAATGGAATACGATAAAGGATTTCACATGGCAAATGACATGAGGTTTGACGTGGGAATTGATATGGGAAAATTTTTCCAAAAAATAATAAAAGATTTCACATGGGAAATGACATGGGAAAATTTTTTGAAAAAAATGATAAAGGAATTCACATGGGAAATGACATGGGAAAATTTTTCGAATAAATGAAAGAGGATTTCACATGGGAAATGACATGGGAAATGACATAGGAAATTTCAATATAGATGTTGATCGTCATTATAGTTTCATTGTTTCACCACCAGATGGTGAAAATATTTTCTCTCACAGTTGAGATCAGTCTGGAATACTATAAAAGCTGGGAGACTAAGGCAGAAGTAAAGTAAATTTTTTTTATTTTCAGATGAGTTGAAGTATTATTATTTGATATTTAATCAAATAATTAATTTTTTTTTGTAAACTGCCGCCTGCATAAAGCAGTCAACTAAAAAATTCCCGAATAAAATCCTATATCGTTTCCTATATGTAAATTCATGTGAAATCTTAGGTTGAAATTTCAGAATCTATATGAAATCTTATATGATTTCCTATGCTTAAATCTATTTGTTTTATCATTTGGAAGAATGCACATGAAATCGTATTCCATTTCCCATGTGGATTCCCATATGGTGTCCCATGTGGATTCCCATATGCTTTCCTATGTGGGTATTTTCGATAAGGCGAAAGAGGATTTGACATGGGAAAATTTTTCAAAAAAATGATAAAAGATTTCATATGGGAAAATTTTTCAAAAAAATGATAAAGGTTTTTACTTGGGAAATGACATGGGGTTTGACATGGGAAAATTTTTCAAAAAAGTGATAAAGGATCTCAATTAGTATTTAACATGGTATTTAACATGATATTTGACATGGGATTTGACATAGGAAATGACATGGAGGAACCTCGTTTTGATATTTTCCTATGCCAATTCCTGTCCCAATTTCCCATGAGTTTTTATATGGGATCCCATGTGGTTTCCCATATGGGGAATGGGGTTTTACATAGTTTTTGACATAGGATCCCATGTGGTTTCCCATGTGGTTTCCCATGTGGGGATTTTCAATAGGGTACTGGAAAGTTAACAAAACTCGAGAATTCGACTAATTCATTATTGAAGCAATATTCGTTCCAGGGTGCATCATGTAATTGTGTTAAATTAGATTGCAATTGCTGCATTAAGTTAAATGCTGGCTTGATCATTAAAAATAAAACTATGTGCAATCAAATTGGCTTCCTGCCAGAAGAATTTGCTGTTACAATAAAGGTTTTAGTTGATGGAAAAACTAAACTTAATACAACAATTTCAGGTACGTTAAGTTATTTTTCCTTCGTGCCAAACATTTAACGAACATTTAAGGGTGATCCTACTTTACACGGTCAAAAAAATCAAAAAATTTTTATTCCGTAATTTTTATTGTCTGTTCTATTCTATTGCTGCAATCTTGCGCGACAATTTTGTTCCAAACTCCCTGGTTAAAAATTCAGACTGATTTCAGATTAAATACAGACAGATCAATACGGATTAGTAATTAAAATTAATTGGAAATTGTATCATACAGAACTAATAAATACAAAATTATTTCTATTGAATCCGAAATTAATGAGGCCTGTGTAATCAGTAAATCTAGAAGCTGCATTCACTAGTTATGTTTGATAGGATTGACTTCAGATTAGACCTGTTTAATTCCGGATTCACTAGTTGCATAAATCGGGCAAATTTCGGATTTAGCAGGACTAATTCCAAACAAAAAGTCCGTAAACAGTCAGATAATTTATACCAGAGTTATCATAATTAGAATTTACGAAACTTTGAATTCGTAAACTTACTACGAGTAAAATAGGTTTTGTAGTTATTGCAAAATGTTTTATTAAAGTATTGCTATTTACATAATAAAACATAAAAATTTAATTATTTTATTTTTTCAGCAAGCAACCCTCCCGCAGCATGCATACCAGTACCTAATATACCAGTTTTAGATGTTTGTATTCGTTTAAGAGATCTTCAGATACATAATTCAACCTTTCATTCGTGTCTTGATGTTCAAGCAAAGATGACTAACGTTCTGATCTTGACATTACAATTTGACTGTTTTAATATAAGCTCTAAAGGCATTGAATCATCTAATGTAAATAAAATAATTACATTGGTAGATAAAGAAAAAAAAATTTTCAAAATAATAAAAAATTGATATACCTACTACTTGTTCTTTAACGTTAATTAATTAACATGATACATGAAGAGAAAAGTGTAGTAAATATCCTGTGAACTAAGTACCTAACAATTACTAAACAATTTCTCGATTTTCGTGTGACTAAACAGATAATGAGCTTAACTTGAGTTTTATCATATGTACTAAACATAAACTAAACAAACAAAAAAGAAGTAACTTTTTATTTACTAGCAATTTTATAAATCTTAATGTATTTTAATTATATTGTTAAACAAATTATAATAAATTGGTAATGCGGCTATTTGAGAGTAAATATTATAATTCATGATAAATAATTAAATGCAGATTTCTATTAGAATAAAGATTAATATGAATGTTAATTTATTTTGTATACAAAAAAACAGTATAAATTTAAATATGAACGCAAAAAAATCAAAATAAAGCAATAAATAGTAAAAAAATGTATTTTATCTTAGTTTATTCAGCGTTCAGAAGCTCGAATTGGCGCTGTCTCCTGGGTCACTGAAATATTCACGCAACGTCAGTGTCTACGCCGTCATGTTTCTTTTCTTTTTTGTTTTAAAATGTCACTTTTTAAAAAACTTCATTTTTTAAAGCAAAATTTTGTATTTTTCAGAAAACAGCAAGATTCATTGTACCCAAATCTTTTCAAAGTTTAGATAAATTTTTTTTCTCATTTTAGACTAAGATGGATACTACCAAAACACATTTCCCAGTAAAAAATGAATTTTTGAGACACCAGTTTTGATGATTGAGCAAGCCGTCTGCTGAATTGTTCAAACGACATCTAGACAGTTGGATTGCTTGATCAATAATCCAATAAATTAGGCCCAATTAATCTACACGTATTTAGAAGCTAAGAAAAGGAAAAATTGACGCTTGAATAATTAAGCAGACGCAGCTTGCTCAATTGTTCACATGACTTGCTCAATAATTCCTTTTTTACTCGGGAGTTAACTGCAAGTGCATAATTATTTATTTATTTAATAATAGACGCGACAAGTTTCTTCGTACATGAGTACTTCCAAAACTAGAAACATTGCACACTTCATAACAGTATATTGTACAATAAAAACAAATCTATCTATTATCTAATTACAGTTTAGTAAATGTCTACGTAATAATGTTGTGAATTTTGTTTCATTTCTTTCAAAAAAGATTGAATGATTTTTTACTATGATTTTTAAACTAGCGTAAGACGGAGTTATTTCGCTCATTGGGGGTAAATTCGCTCACCAAGGTACGTGCTTCAAGATAACTTTAAAATAAAATTTGATACTCTTATTACCAAGTTAAAATGCTGACTTTGTTCATAGAATTATCAAAATTTAGTTTAAGGGTAATTTAAAGCAGATAACTTGGTTAGCTAATTTACCCGCAATGAGAGAAATACCCAGTCTTACGAAACATTTACTGTATTGCTAAACAACTTAAAAATGTTTGTAACGGTAACAGTTTCTCCATTACTGAGTAGAAGTCAGGACACTTAAAAACGAAAAAGATGTCTTAACAACCTGAAAAAATTATTTAAAAAACATATAGATAAACTGTAATCTCAGTAGAAGAAGAATCGCAACAACATTTAATATAATTATATAGTGAAAAAGAAGTGAGTAAAAGAAATAAATAGATATCACTTTCTTTTTCACTTACATGGTTTACGCTTCTACGCCTACATAGGGCGAACATTATATAGCACAGTATATTACATCGAGTTTACAGAAAGCTTACATGTAAGAATTGTAAGGTAACATATTAAACTGTCAGTAGACTTACTGTTAGCATGAAATGTCCGCTTTACTGTAAGCACACATGTATGGTCGTGGTAAGGTCGTAGTAAGCTTACATGTAAGGTATATATAATTAATTTTTTACTAAAATATTGCGTTGATTCTATTCCATAAAACAAATTAAAATAAATCACGCAATCTCAATTGAAACTCCCCATGTAGGATCATATAAAATTTCGCACAAAAAGTTATATAAAATTCCAGATTTTTATAGGAATTTATGTAGGATCATAAATAAAATAGTAAGGAAAATGAAACACTATTTTATGTATGAAATTTAGATTGGGGTTATCATATATGCTTTGATTTGAAAAATCATGTTAATTCCTATGTGATTTCCTATAAATTATTTTGTTTATGGATAAAAAAATCCCCTGGAAAAAACACAAATTTTCGTCCATAACATCTCACAAGAAATCCCATATCAATTCCTCGGTGTCTATTCATTTTTAATAAATGTATCAATATAGAAAACCATGTGGAATTTCATGTGGATTCTTTCATATAATTTTACATGGAATTAAAAATAGGAAATCATATTGGATTTCTTGTACATAATCCTCGACATAATCTGAAATATCAACCTAAGAATTCACATGGGTTTATATAAAGCAAAACAATAATGGATTTCATATGGGGATTTTCAATTGCCTGCTTTATGCAAATGGCTGTTTTCAAAAATTAAAAATTATTTAATTAAAAATCAAATAATATTACTGCAATTCATCTGAAAAGAAACAAATTTGTGCTTTACAATACACCTTCTGAGTTAGAGTCGCAGCATTTATAGTATTCAAGACTGATCTCAAATATGAGAGAAAAAATTATCACCACCTGGCGGCGTAAGTGTGGAACTATAATGCTTTACATCTATATTGAAATTTCCAATATATTTTTCTACTTGGTAGTATCTTGTATGGATAACTAAAACAGTGAAGTCCACACTTAACATCCCATATGTATTCTTATATAGTGAATTTTTACATAAGATCCTATGTAAGGATCCATGTGAGAACATATTTAGAATCTTATGTTGGTTCCACATAAGATTCTACATGGAACCCTTTAACTAAAAATTCCCATATGAAATCCTATATTGTTTCCTTTATATACATCCAAGTGAAATTTATAGTTGATATTTCATAATCCTACATGGGTATTTTTTATAGGGATTTAAACGAGTTAGAATCTATAACTTACGGAGCAGAAGTTCTCCATAGAAATTACGTAAATTCCTCCAGCAGATATTTTGCATTCATGTGAGCTCCTTAACATCCAAAACAATAAAAGTTTTCGAGTTTCAACAGTCATGTCAGTCCATTTGCTTTCATAACTGCATTAAAAAATCATTTTGTTTTATTATTCAAAAATTATTTTTAAACCAAATAAAGAGTGGGCAGTTATACACACTATGAAATTGTGCAAGAGGTTAATATTTATATATTTTTCGACTTGAGAAATTCAAAAATCAATTTCTAAAAAAATTTTGTTCTGTGTATGCAAACATTACATTTTAACCAGGGTTGCCAGATTCTTCCGCGACCGACCCGCCATTAGTACAGAAGAAAACCGGCCAAACCGCCACTTATTTAAATATACTGTATATTTATAATTTTATATAAAATTATATATACTAAAAAACATCATTTTTTTGAGGTCGAAGCGTAGATTTACATAGTTTACAATAAGCTTCCCCTTTGCCCAAATGCACTAAGGTTTCAGGCGTTCTCTGCAACCAACCTATGTGTATGTACAAAATGACAAAATTATAAGTTTTATTTACAGTCCTCACAAATGCATTATTTTATATTAATGAACGATATAATTGTATTTTATTTTCCCGTGTGTTCTATTTTTATTTTTATTTAATATGATAAAACAAATGCAAGTGTGCGCGATTAACCTTTAAATTATTTACATACTACAATCACATGTGAACGGCGCGCCGGCTTCGTAGGCCATGAACTTAGAAGTCGTTAGAATTAGAACAGCTGATCTATAATGTCTTTGGTTAGGCGCAAAAAGCTTTAGCAACCTAAAGGTAGATTCACCGGGTTTTGAGTACTTTATTACAGCGCCTGCGCTTGCATGCAGACAGGCAGCGAGCCAGAGCCTGACAGACATAAGACAAATTTATGATATACAGCAATATCGCCCAATTTGCGGGTGCTTTCATTAAAACCGCCCAATTAGCGGTTTACCGCAAAACCCAATTTTTACCCGCCAATTGAACCTTCAAATCCGCCCAATTGGCGGAAAACCGCCCAATCTGGCAACCTGATTTTAACCACTTCACTGACGAGGCGTTCCACGCTGCGCTGCCTGGCCCAAACTGTTGAAAACACTAAAATGGCGTTCCTACGTAATATATAAATTATTAATACATAAATATTATTATTATACATAAATATATTTTACAAATTAGAAGGTATAGTAATATCATGTTTCAATGAAAAATCCGAGTTTATTGAATAAAGATTGAGTAAAAGTGAAACGCCATTCGTTGAAGAAAATTAAAAATTGCCGATTTCAACGTTCAAAAAACATTGATAACCTCATAAACCAAATTTTTTATTGTCATATTCTTGTTCCCTGATGTCTAAAATATAGAAACATTAATTTGTGGTAATTAAAATTAACGTATACTTTTAAAAAATTTAGTTTAAGTAGGAACACCAATTCGGTGTTTTTGCCAGTCTGAGCCAGGCAGCGTGGAACAAATAGTTACATACTATACTGTATATTTAATTGTATTTAGGAATTAAAATATCTTACCAATACTGAGAAACTTTCGAACTTTTATCTATTAACATTTGACCAGGAATAGAAGTAAAAAATAAATGAATAATGTTTGCCAAGAACAGAGACCCAAACCTTAAAACAATTTGTATGTTATTTATATTTAACGCAATCTGTAAAAAAATAAATGTGGTTAAATTTACAAGTCTAAAATAGATATTATATATGATTTGATGTCTGTTACCGACATCGTTTGTGTGAACGCTTTTGTAAAACTTATGCCTAAATAATAGTATATTTCGATACAAGGGTCCAAACGAGCGTTTTGCTCATTACACGAGTAATGGGCATACGCTCGTGAGGCAACGAGTATCGAACCATATTTTTCTTTATAAGTGCAGGCATAACCTCGTTTGACAGCTACTTGCAGCTATTCAAAATGGCCGACTCCCTCATTGTGCGCGCAGACGATGAGCAAAATGTTTTGGCCACCGCTTAACGGTGAGCAAAATACTTTGCTCATCGTCCGCGTGTACAGTGAGGGATTCGACTATTTTGGATAGCTGAAAGTGGTTGCCAAACGAGGTTTTTGCATACACGTATAAAGAAAATATATTTTTATGTTTTTGCTCCTACATGTATACAAGCATTCATTAATTTATTAATAAACCTCAACAGGTTATGAGCCTAGAGCTAATCGTACATTCAGTTAAAGACAAAAAAAGAACATTAGGCAAATTGACAACAAGGTTAATGGCAGAAAAATTGAGATTGAAGAATCAAGAAGTTGTGCGTGAAGAATCCACAGCTTTAATTGCGGGAAATCAACAAGGCAGTTATCATAATCGATAGCAAAAAAGTGACTGTGATAATAAAAAGCAAGATTTAAAGTGTCATAATTGTTGTATACCAGGGCACTTTAAGAAAGATTGCTTCAGATGTTTCTATTGTAAAAAGCAGAGGCATAAAAGTAACAATTGCCCAAAGAACAATGGCAATACTAGTCGACACCAGCACAGCCGTGTTAAACAAAAACTTACGTAAGTGATCATATGTCAAAACATCGAGAGTGGTATTCTTACTACGAAGAATTTTAGGAACTCTTGAAAATTGGAGTTGAAGATCATTTTTGGCGGGAAATACGGAGAGAGATGAGGGAAGAAGGGAACCACTTGCTGCTCTATGCAGTCTTGAAACAAACATAACCTCAGAATTTAGGTCACTTTTGGCAAGAAATACGGAGAGAGGGGAGGACATTCGGCCCTATTCAGTTTTGAAACGATCATAACCTCAAAATTTATGTCATTTTTTGTGATGGTGGGGGGAAAAGGGGGAGATTTGCATCTATATTCATATGGGTCATTCCATTTCAAGTGTAACCAACTATTGTGCTATCCATGTTAAAAAGATGGGTTAACTAACCCTTACCTAACCTTGTCAAAAACATGGGTTGGGTACACTTGACATGGAATGACCCATCCTTGTCAAAATTTCTGAAACAGCGGCGGCTGCGGCGAAATCTTTTTATAATATAGAAAGATATATATTTGAGCAAAATCCCTGAAGTGATTTAACTTTAAAATTGAAGGTTTTCGGATCGGGCTGAAATTTGCACAAACTTTAGTACTATGGGTGAGTACTTTATCCATATATTATTATTAAGTTTTATGCAAAATTGTAGAGGGAGGAGGGGGTTCAAGTTTTTCGTCAAATATGAACAGTGGATTTTTTAAAAAATCGTAACTTCTATATAAATGGATGAAAAAATTTTGACCTATATATTTTTTTAAAAGCTTTTTTGTGCTCTTTTAAATGGTAAAAAAAAATTTTTTTAAACAATTAAAATTTACCTCTTTTTTGAAAATCAAAAATATTTTTGATTTTTTCTCTCAAAAAGCCACTTTTTTTTTACCCTCAAAATGAAGCTTAAGATCTCGAAAACAAAAAAAACGCCTTTCTAGTTTTTTTGGTATTGAAAGTATATATCTTAAGCTTCATTTTGAGGGGAAAAAAAAGAAAAAAAGTGCCATTTTAAAAGAAAAAATCAAAAGTATATTTGAATTTCAAAAAAGGGGTAAATTTTAAATGTTTAAAAAATTTTTTTTTACCATTTAAAAGAGCACAAAAAACCTTTTAAAAAAATATATAGGTCAAAATTTTTTTCATCCATTTATATAGAAGTTACGATTTTTTAAAAAATCCACTGTTCACATTTGACGAAAAACTTGAACCCCCTCCTCCCTCTACAATTTTGCATAAAACTTAATAATAATTTACTTGACTTGACTTGACATGGAATGACCCATATGAATATAGCTGCAAGTCTCCCCCTTCTCCCCCCCTCCCTCGCAAAAAATGACATAAATTTTGAGGTTATGATCGATTCAAAACTGAATAAGGCCGAATGTCCTCCCCGTATTTCTCTCCAAAAGTGACCTAAATTCTGAGGTTATGTTTGTTTCAAGACTCTGCATAGAGCAGCAAGTGGTTCCCTTCTTCCCTCATCTCTCTCCGTATTTCCCGCCAAAAATGACATAAATTATAAGGTTATGTTCATTTTAAGACTTTCAATATACCTGTAAGTGGAGGTAGATTTTCTGCCAAAAATGATCTGAATTTAAATGTTATGTTCGTTTCAAGACTGTGAATATAGTCGCAAGCCCCCCCTCTCCTTTCTTACGTTGAAGGAGAGGTGCATTTTCCGCCGAAATTGAATTAAATTTTAAGTTTAAGTTATTTTGTCCGGAAACGACCAAGAAAAAAACATAACCTCAAAATTTTGGCTAAAACTTGACGCAAAAAGACAAAGGAACAAACATAACCTAAAAATTTAGGTCAAACTTTGAAGGAACATTACCAAAAAACGAACATAACCTTAAATGTAGGTCAAATTTTAGCTGGAAAATTAAAAAAATAGGTAAATTTTAAAAATTGAAAATAATAAAAATTATTGTTAATAAAAATCGTAAATAACATTTAAAGAAATAAATAATAAAATATTAATAATAGTTTTAAATTCCAGAAATTGTTTAAACATTAACTCAAACATCTACAAAACCAATAAAAAATAGGGGGTTGGCGCGCGAAAAGCGCAAGGGGGCGAGACCCCCCTAGTATATATATCTATCTATATTACAAAAAGATATCGCCGCCAACGCCGCTGTTCCAAGACTCTGAATATAGCCGCAAGTTAAGAGAAGGGGGTAGAAGAGAAGGGGGGAACTTGCGGCTATATTCAGAGTCTTGAAACGATCTTAACCTTTAAATTTAGGATAGTGGGAGGGGGAAGAGAGGGGAAGAGAGGAGGGGGGTGGGGGATGGCGCGCGAAGCCGCTGCCGCTGTTCCAAGACTCTAAATATAGCCGCAAGTCAAGAGAAGGGAGGTAGAAGAGAAGGGGGGAACTTGCGGCTATATTCAGAGTCTTGAAACGATCTTAACTTTTAAATTTAGGGTGGGGGAGGGGAAGAGAGGAGGGGGATAAGGGTTGGCGCGCGAAGCGCGCAGGGGGCATAGCCCCCTAGTATATATATATATATATATATATATATATATATATATACTAGGGGGCTATGCCCCCTGCGCGCTTCGCGCGCCAACCCCCATCCCCCCTCCTCTCTTCCCCTCCTTTTCCCCACCACCACCCTAAATTTAAAGGTTATGTTCGTTTCAAGACTCTGAATATAGCCGCAAGTCCTCCCTCTCCCTTCTCTTCTACCCCCCCCTTCTCTTGACTTGCGGCTATATTCAGAGTCTTGGAACAGCGGCTTCGCGCGCCAACCCCCATCCCCCTCCTCTCTTCCCCTCCCCCCACCCTAAATTTAATGGTTAAGATCGTTTCAAGACTCTGAATATAGCCGCAAGTCCCCCCCCCTCTCCCTTCTCTTCTCCCCCCCCTTCTCTTGACTTGCGGCTATATTCAGAGTCTTGGAACAGCGGCGGCGGCGGCGTTGGCGGCGATATCTTTTTGTAATATAGGTAGATATATATATATATATATATATATATATATATATATATATATAGGGTAAAATTCCTGTAGTGAACTAAGTGAAAAAAAAGTTGATCGGACAGGGCTTAAACTTGCACATAGTTTAGCCCTAGGGATGAGTAATTTAACCACGAAGTATTGTTAGGTTTTTTCAAAAACTGTTGGAGAGGGAGGGGGTTGAATTTTTTTGAATAATTTAAAGAGTGAATTTTTGAGGACTTGTAACTATTTTGGTGATTGTAACTGAGTTTCACAAATAAATTTAGAATAAAAATCGAAAGCGTACGTGCGAGACCATTTTTAATCGACATATTAAAAAACAGTAGTATATAAAAAGAACGGCAGAGGCTGATAAAACATTACAGTGGGAAAAGATCAAAATTCAAATTCAAACATGCCCCCCGACTTGAAAGTTCTACCTTTCAAAATTAAAAGTATAAATCGTCAAATAATAAATAGAAATTACATAAAATTTTAAAAACATATTTAAATTATAAATTTGAGAGAACATTTTGAACATTAAAATTTCTAAGTTAAACGAACAATATGATATTAAAAAAAAGAAAATTCCTTATTTCATAATCTTTGATTATTCGATTGGCAACGGGCAGACAGACGTTAAAGGTAGTTGAGTTTTGCCTGTACATGTTCCAATAGTGACAGCACGAACGACGCCATCCTTGCCTGGGTGCAGTTCTATCACTCTTCCCAATTTCCATCTTAGGGGAGGAATATCCTTGTCCTTAATCAACACTAGGGCATTTTCGTTGATCTGTGGGTATGGTTTTCTCCATTTGACTCTTTGTTGAAGCTCGGAAATGTATGTATCGTGTGGGTTTAAGGAAAGAGGAGTTAAAGGTCGAGAATTTTACAGGCTTTCAATTTGTACAATAAGCGTATAAAACTCTTCAAAAGTCAAAACTTTGTTGCCGGCGACTCGTTTTAGATGGTACTTAGTGGACTCCAGCTTCCTAAATCCCACCAAAATGTGGAAAATAAGCTGGAATAAAGTGCCAAGTAAATACCATTTTATATATGACATCCTTTAAACCCTCATTTACATGAGCTAAAAAGGTTCCCAATTGATCAAGCTCCTTCCTGGCTCCCACAAATGAAGAACCATTGTCTGAGTATATATGACCCGGTTTTCTTCGACGGAAAACAAATCGTCTAAGAGTTGCAAT